ACCTAAAGCCCCTAGCGCTCCTAATAACGGTAAAAGTGGTAAAATACCGCCCGATTTTGATTCGAACGGTATAATTCTAGGTACCCTAATTTTTTTACGTCCTCCCGCTTTTCTTACAGCGGCTCTGCCAGCTCGAAGCGCTTCCAGTGCCGATCTTCTAAGCATTTTAGGGTTATCGATATGAAACAATTGTTTCTTCTTTAATGCATTGCGAACCTTTTTCACGACACCCTGTCGAAACGAAACAGAGGGACGCCGTTGTTGACCCATACCGAGCTTACGTTTAGTTTTCATAGTCGCGGTGACAAAGAATGCGGCAGCTTTTTCACCAAACTTTGCGTCTTTAGATTTTACTCGCTGCCACGCACGCGTTTCCAATTCTTTATCCGCTTTATGACGTTCGTCTAACGATTTGTTTTGCGAATAGGCAATGTCGTGTACCTTACACGCAGCGTCCAAAGGATTCACCCCGCTATCGCCTCGGTTCAAGCGTTTTTCCAATTTTGTACCGGGACCGCAAAACTGGTAACCCGGAATGTGTACTTCAAAAGGTAACTTGTTAATAAGCGTGTTAACGAGACCACTTCCGGACGCGAAGCATAACATACTAATTAAAGGAAATTGCTTGTGTCGTATATATATATACGAGGTGTCTCGAATAAACATTGTAGTCATGCGGGTGGTGCAGCAGAAACTCAAGCTCCCCATCGATAATTTAGATTTGGTTTGCGGAGATGGTTTCTTTAACAAAAGCAAACACGGTCAACTGCTACCCAATTCATTTAGGGCGGTGTTTTGCGGACCTAGCGGTTGCGGCAAAACCAACACCATGTTAGCGCTACTCTTTAACCCCAACGGGGCAAGTTTCGAAAATGTTTACGTCTACTCAAAGTCGTTGTATCAACCAAAATATCAACTGTTATCTCGCGTATTGAGCAATGTCAAAGGAGTTGGATATTATCCCTACAGTGAAAGAGACTCGATAATCGACCCCAGCGACGCGAAAGAGAATTCTCTGTTTATTTTCGACGACGTGGCGTGCGACAAGCAAGATAAAATTCGCGAGTATTTTTCGATGTGCCGACACAAGGCCATCGACGCTATTTATCTCTGTCAGACATACTCCAAGGTACCCAAGCAATTGATACGTGACAATTGCAATATTGTCGCGTTGTTTAAACAGGATGACATGAATTTACGTCACGTTTATGATGAACATGTCTCACCCGACGTTTCATACGACACGTTTAAACAAATTTGTTCCGAGTGCTGGAAAGAAAAGTACGGCTGTTTGATAATTGTCAAAGATTTCGACGTAAAAAACGGACGCTACCGCAAGGGTTTCGACAAATATATAAAAGTCGATATTTAATTGTCGATAGAAACAGTCATGAAGGCGACGTCCGCCGACATCGCCGACGCGGCGCTAAAAAAAAAAGTAAACGAGTTGTCTAGATCTATTCGAAAGAAGTATTTAACATTAAAATTGGGTAAGAGCGAAGAGGATGCGTCAATTCGGAAGCTTTTCAAACCCGTCAGCGAGCCGCTAGAACGTATAGCAAAAATAAAGCTATCACCGTCACCGGCAGAAATAAAAACTGAACGTCGAGGTGTCAAGCGGGAACACAAAAAGGAACCGAACGAAGAAACAAAAAATAAGGTTAACGTATCATTTTTGCCTATGGAAGAAATTCAGGAAACGCCGGATCCCAATAAGAGCGTTGAGATGCAAAATATCGATGAGGAGGAAGATGATGTGTTTGACACATCGAGCGTGGCCAACGCATCCCTTCAATCATACCTGGAACAATATCCAGAAATTTCCCATTCATATATTCAAAATTTATGGGTAAAATCGCCCGACACCGATATTGTTTACGGACCCGTTTACGACAAAATATCATCCAAATGGTTTCTCGGCAATAAATCGCTGGATTTTCATCAAGGATCTGGCGATATTATTGTAGACGGCGAGAGATATTCCGGTACCCGCGGCTTGTATAATTTGGTGTTTTTAAAAGATCCCATAGCATACACAAAAGACGATTTGGCACAATATAAAAAAATAATGGAGGCTACCCAGGTGCACAGGGACGCGATCGGACGTCTGAAAGGCGCATCGACTGTACCAAAATATACCAAGGTCATCCGACCCTTAATAAAATCTCAGTCGCGTTCGTACTCGTACAGCGGTCAAGGTTATAATATGCGTTATAATGACGCTCCTACTGAATATGTATACTGGGACGACGTCAATGAACTCGTAGAGCGTCTGAAATTACTAATCGCGTCGAAACACGCAGGCAACACGTCTCATGATAACGAAATAGTTTCAATCGTTGAAGAGCTAAAAGAATCAGGTTTTATACGTTAGTTTAACGATGAGTCTGGACAAGTTTGGACGTTCTAGCGCGCTGCGCTCTAAACGACCCTTCACTAATACTGTGATTAGAAGCGCCCTCGACTATATGCCAGACGCAAACGTCAATATGAACAATTTAAAAATTTGCAATGTCCAAACGCCTAGCGATGACGGTGACGTGGCTAACAAAAAATATGTGGATGAGACAAGTAATTTATTAAAAATTGCATTGAGAAAGATTATTGGACAGAAACTCGAAGCGTACACGAAAAGATTACAAATTGAAGACAAAACTAAATTCTCGCGTCTTGAAGAACAACTGAAAATGAGTAGCACTACACTCGAAAATGAAATTATGCAGTTTCGCGAAGTTTTCCACCAAAAGCTAAGCGAAATGAGCGCAAAGAAAGATTTGGAAAAGCACATGACAAAAGTCGCCGTTTTGTCACAGCAATTTCATGATATTGTAACCAAAATGGAGCGACTTACGAACGAAAATGAGAATATAATGAAGGTATTGAAACAAAGGGTTTTAAATCCTCCATCGCAACCGAACACACATTATGAATAAAGAGAAGGTACAACTGGTTCGAGAACTGCACAAGCCGGCACGCAGAAATTATACTCGCCGCCGGACTATAATACGAGGGATGGATGACCTGTGGCAAGCGGATCTGGCCCAATTAGATCGCTACAGCAAACAAAACAGAAATTTTAAATTCGTGCTGGTTGTGATAGACTGTTTCTCAAAATATGTATGGTGTCGCCCGTTGAAAACCAAAACCGGGGTCGAAGTCGCCAAGGCGTTTTCCAAAATTCTCAAGGACGGACGGCACCCTCAAAACTTGCAAACGGATCTCGGTAAAGAATTTTACAACGACACGTTTCTGAAACTTGTGGATAAGCATAAAATTAACCACTATAGTACGTATAGCATAAAAAAGGCCTCAATTGTCGAACGGGTGATACGTACCCTCAAAGAGAAATTGTTTCGACATTTTTCTTTACGCGGGACGTACAAATGGATCGATGTGCTCGCCTCTATCGTTGATGAATACAATAACACAAAACATAGAACGACGGGTACGAAACCCATCGATGTGAGTAAGAGCAACGAAAAGAGAATTTTGAAAACCGCGTATAGTAGCATAAAAATATTCGGTCCTCGTAAACTTAAAGTCGGCGACATCGTTAGAATCAGCAAAGTCAAGCACGTTTTCAACAAAGGTTATACACCGAATTGGACCACGGAATTGTTTAAAATTGTTAAAGTACGGGTTACTAACCCCGTAACGTATTTGCTTCAAGATATGCAGGGTAAACCCATAATGGGCGGATTTTATGAAGAAGAATTGCAGAAGACAGTTAACCCGGACTTATATCTCGTCGAAAAGGTGTTGCGCAGACGAGGCAATATGGTTCTCGTGCGCTGGTTGGGATTGGATAAGTCGCACGATTCGTGGGTAGACAACGTAGACGTTTTGAAATAAATTTAGTCTCGATTTAGAAGTTCTGACATAAATACGTGTATATGATGGCTCAAGAGAAAATTGTGACATCCAACGAATTGTATAATTTTTTGGAAAATTTCGAGTTGCAATTTCCTTCATCAGAAGTGCTCCCGTCCAGCTTCGTTCCTGTAGAGCAACAAACCAAAAAATCTGCGACCAAACGAAAACAAAGTGCGTCGGTCGTATCCCGCAAGAAGAAGAAGAAAACTACCACAAGTGAAGCGTTTGCAGCTCCAACGTCATCCGCTGATTGGCTCGAAGTGTTCACGGACGGTAGAGAAAAAAGTGTCATTTGTGAGGCATTCAATTTAAAAAGAAACTTGGCGTCTCAGTTGTCGGGATTAGAGTGCAATATCAACGAAATTGAAACACAAATTGCGCTTTTTAATACAGACTTGCAAGTGGCGCGGATGCAAGCTCAAGAGTGCAAAAGAAAACTAGAACAATTTAATAATTTAGCATTTAACGAAATTGTAAAATAGTAATAATGTATATAATAAATAAATTATACAATTACAAACTTCTGTGTAATTATTATGCGGTGTTGTGGTGGTGGTAAAAAAGAAAATAGCGTCTAAATATATACATGTTTATTCTTGTTGCAATACAATGGAATACAATCAATACATAAAAGTCTTATCTACAGTTACATATGTTATAATAAAACCACAGTATTAATAGTTCAATGGACTATCAGAAAAGCGTAACTTTTTTCCATATTTCCTCTCATTGTGAAGCATTAAATTACATTCATCTTCAGTTTCTACAGTGAACAAAACTTCTTCAAAGCAGCTTTGATACCAAAATTGTTTATCGTGATATACATCATTCAAATTATTTATATCCAGCTGTAAATGATAGTGATCCAATAAAAGTCTAAAATTTTTCTTTTTAAATTTTTTAACTACTTGAAATATAAAGTGACAAGATTTACAAACTAAAATTTCCGATTATTTTATCCTGTAATAACTGACCCATAAACAGTAAGCGGATTCTCCGTCAAAATCAATGGTTGGAGTTGCCAAAATGCTATTTCTGTAAGACGATCCAAATCTCTTATTCAACAGAATGAATTCTAAATTTAATAAAGAATTGCCATCAGACTGGAGCGCTAGTTGTTTAAGGTACCTCCATCTATATTTCGAATAATATTTAAATATTAGTATCGTTAGTTTCCAAGGCAAAGGTGACTCACGCAAAAAATCAGCACTACACCTAATATTTTCGCAAATTGTTATAATACAAAGGCTTTCTAATGTAAGTTGTTTGACCATAATCTGTAACAAAAATATATTAAAAAATAATTACGGCACTTTATAATGTCCCCACGGAAGCGTTTCATATGAATTCGGCAAAAGATAACGTTTATCGTCTAAAGGACTCAAGGCAACTTTTGTTTGTTCGATGCTAAATACATTGTGAGTGTATGAACGAATGGTTCGTTGAGTGGCGTACTTTTCCCTAAAATTTGTTAAGCATTCTACGTAGTCATCAAATGAAATTTTATTTTTTACAATATTGTACTGAATACCCTTTGACTTTTTAACTACCGAACCCGTTAAAATTTTGAAAGTATACATTTTCGACCTTAACCCAGCATAATGACTAATGATGGTGCCATTAGTCTCATCCTTCATCAACCCCAAAACCTTTTTGTTGATTTGCGGTATATTATAGGGATTGTCATTAGGATAATCAGACGTGTCAAATTTTGTTAAATCGGCCTTAATAACGCTTTCATATGCGTCATAACATTTGATATTATAAATGAAACTGTCCGTATCCATGTATTGAATTTTACATTTTTCGGGACCCAAATTTGGAAGCATGTAATTATAATGAAACTCGTACATGGTCGTTTTCGACAAATCCAATATGGACATTCCAATATAAAGTGGCTTATTAAAGCAAAGTTCCGATTTTTTTAATTCTATAAGCAACAAATTGTTATCAAGTATGGTTCTACTGTGAAATCTAGGACTAGAAATTAAATTTTTCGCACCGTAGCGACCATCCCACGCTTTAACAAATTTAACAATACGATGCTTGCGAATGTTTTCCATTGTTTTACCGTAAGCGGCATTATTAAACAATTTGTATAAATTTATACCAAATTTTGTCTTTGCTTGGGTTCTTAATTTATTATTATGATCGATATAACATTTCAACCAACGAGATTGGTTAAATTTTAATATTTTGTGAATTTTCTTTAGTACGAGACCGTTTTTGAGAGCCTGTTTTAAATTGCGATAGTGTATGACGTATTTTTCTTTATTATACAAAGTAGTCATTAGTTTTGGTAACTTTGAATTGGGGGGCACTCGATGTTCGGCACAAAATGGAAAATCTCTATGTGTGTCATGTAATTTCTGCGGGTATTCCAGGTCTACCTCTAGGATATATCCTTGGGAAGATTCATCTGGAATGTTCATGACATTAAATGAATCAATCTCTTGATGAGACATCCAGTCGAATCCTCCGTAAGGAAGAGGCTCGCACATGGCCTTGCCATAGAGGTTATTGACGTCAAAGTACATGATATAGGAATCATCCCTGGATGAATCGTAGTTGGGCATATATTTATTGTTGGCCTCCGCATATCTACCAACACACACCGAAATTCCACCTCGTATAGCCCGCTCGATAAACATAATTTGGTCAATGTCGCGCAAAAGTTCTAAACGACATTTTGTGAATCTAAGCATGCAATCCCATGTATACCCGGGCATACTGAAATACCACGCCGGATCCAAAACGTGTGTTGCCATACAAGTTTTTCGAAAATTTTCGAATATATCTGCCAGAAGAATAACGTCGGTTTTTAAATACAAATCTGAATACTCGCCTAAATTTTTTATTTCAAACGACTGCCAAACACTTTGTGCGTGGGAATATTTTTCTTCACTAATATTGCTTTCACTTAATTTATTATAGAATTCTTCAATCGGGGGTAAAGTTGTTTCATTTAATTTGTCTATATGGTCGATGTAATCGTAACAAAAAATACCTTTTTGCGACAGTAAATTTAATTTTGATTCGTCGAGATCGGAAAATTCTTTTCTTAAAATATATAGTTCATTTTTATCCATACTGGAAACTAAATTATCCAGAGATGCTCCCAAAAATCTAAACGAATCTATAAATCTAAATTTTATGTTATAATCAGGTTCGAAATATGTAAAAGAGATGTATTTTTCCTTATTAACCGGAACTATGGATACATAGCTATTTTTTGCTAAAACCGGAAGCAGGAAGTGGCTATCGTATCCAGAAAGGTTCTGGAATACTACGGGCACTACAAATATTTTTTTAAAATTTAAATTACAAGCCTGATGGGCAAAACCTCTAAATTTACCAGTAAAATGATCATGGTCACGAACAATAACATCTTCTTTTAAAAAAGGTTTTTCACAAATATGACAATGACTCGACCTTTGATCTAGACTAATTTCACTATCCATTGGTATAATATCCTTAAATTTTGAACGAACAAATTTTGATAAATTAGATATTTCCTCCACGAACCAATCAATACAATCTAGACCACGATAACTTTTGAAAAATGATATTGAATCATCATAAGAACATTTAAAGTAATATGCAGCACTGTAAGCTTCGTGCTTTTGGTATTTCGAGGTTTTATCTGAAATTTTCAAATTTACTTTTCTCAATTGACTCTCAAAATCGGCGTAAATTACAAACGGAGTCCTTTGTTTATATATATGGTTTCGAAATTCAACGTAATCATATTTGGGAAAAGACACTTTATACTCATTGAAACTGGAACATATTGTTTCGTGGTCATGTAGACGAGTTTCGTTATTGAAATAATTCAAACACCTATCGCAAATGTATTTCTTGTGATTATATTTACTGAGCTGTGAGGAAACTAATCGAGACAAATTTTTAATGTAACAATAGTGATATTTTATTTCTTCATAATCATTATCTTGCGGATCAGGATCAAAATCATTAACTTTTGGATAATATTTATTTTGTATTAACAACAAATTTGAATGTTTTTCGCGTTTTTCTTTTGTTAATCGTGCAGGTAACACGGAATAAAAACTAGTTTTTTCATTTTTATTAAGCTCTAAGATATAAACATTGATGGAAATATCATTGTCTTTTTCAAATTTGCTTATTTTATTCATTTCCATAGGTGTTTGTAAATTTTCAGTTTTCAAAACACTTTTGTAGTATGGATATGAAGAGGGTAAATACTGACGAAAACGTGCTGGAAAGAGTCCGCATACAACTGACCAATAAAAACACGCTTGATCGTCATTTCTAATGTTAATACAAGCCCTTTTATTCGCAATTTCTTTAGGCAACTCAACGAAGGATGACCCGTTACCCATTTCAAATTTATTAATGTTAATCTCTAAATAAATAATATTATTTAAAGCCCACCCGGAATCACGTTCCTGAAACTCTGACATTTGATTTAAAATTTTATCTTGCACATTTTCAACAAACCAATCATTCAATTCTGTTCCTAAATCAACTACAGCATTTCCGGTACTCAGATATTTAACATCAACTTCGCCTTGGACATCATTTTTTGCCTTAATAAATTCACCGCAAAATGTGGTATTTACTTTCAGCAATAAAAATTTCTTTAAAATTTGACTAATTTTTTGTTGAAATATTGGACGAGAATCGTTTAAAAATTGAATTAAATCTTTATGAAGTAAATTAATTATGACACCAGTCTGAACTCTTCCCTGGAAACACGACGCTACCGATTCCCATACAACCATTTCATTTGTGTTTGTCTCGCGGCTACTACTTTGTAATCCCAATCCAAAATGCTTATGTTGATAATTAAGAATAATTTTTCTAATAGCTTTCAGATGTTGAATTGTAGTTTGTAATTTTCTTTTTAACCCAATAGATAAATCCTTTTCGTTAGAAACGATTTGGTTGCAAGATTCAATATTTTTATTTAGTCTCCTAAGCCACACATCACTATCTCTAAGAGTGAACTTGTCGGAAATATGCTTTTTTAATTTTTGTAAGGTTAAAATTAAGATTTGCCCTCTATGAATGATCTGCTTTACGCGCATCGTGGTTTATTAAATATATAACAGTAAATAAGACTTACCCTGTATAATATGTTGATTAATTTTGAATTATTTTGAATTTCTTTAAAGAGTTGGGCTTTCCAATATCTTTGGATCCCTCGTAGACCAGTTTGTACTGCCCCGACGCAAAGTGTTCTAGTCTCGGACGGAAAGCTTCTGTCACGCGAGTAGGAAGAAATACTACGGAATTTTCTAATTGCAGCAACACGGAATTGCCAAATTTTGTATTAACAATTTTGGCTCTAGTAATTTTAAACGGAACGCCTATCGGCAATTCATGCAGTTTGACAATCGGCTGCTCAAAATCACCTTCTGCAAGACAGGTTTGATTCAGTTGACTTAAGTCCATCTATAAATTATTATTAATTATTTTATCTCAAAATTAAAAAAATAAAAAAAACTTACGCTTAAGATTGCTGCTATTCTATTTGCGGTTACGGGTTGAGAGTACTAAGATGATCTTTAGGAACTTTATAAAATAATAACAAATGTTAAAGAATTAAAATAAGACAATAAAAAAGGTACTTACTGCTTTTTTGTACGAACACCAAACCACTAAGTTAGCTTCCACGTTGCACGAATAATACCAAAAACAACTACTGACAAAACAGAGAAAAATGAGATGTATTTATACGGTGCGAGAATACTTTCTAAAAGTTAACAAACGAAGACACCTCCACATGCGTTGCAACAAATTTTTCCCATTACGTTAATCCCACGGAGCAAATATAAAGGGGGCAATTAATTATTATTCTCAACAAGCAAAACAACTTGACATTTAGACTCGGCGCGTTTTGAAATTCCACATCCCATACGGAGATTGTAAAAAATGAAAGCAAGTTGGCCTTGATCTTTTGCGGCAACATACGTTCGTCCAACGTCCGAAACGGTTGCGTTCCCGTGTGAAAGCGTGTTGACCTTGAGACTTCTACCTGCACGGTTGTCTGGCGACAACATCGCGTCTATTCAAATCGGCGTTGGTGCTTGTGGGTAGAAGACCTTTCGACTTTTAATTCAACCATGGAAGGGAGTGCATGTGTATAAATACGTTGCATGTGTATTATAGACTATATTCAGTGCAATGAATACAGAAGTGCGATGTCCATTTCCCTACGACCCTACAACTGGTAAGTTTTATATTTTAATTACCTTTATACAGTGCGCGTCTTTTCTTGTGGGTTTCAGTTTGGGTTATCACTTTTTTGGTTAGTTTCTACCTGTTTTAAAATATGATACTCATCTTTTTTACGTTGCATAATAACCGATTTAAATTGAGTGTTTTTAATAGCTTTTAAATGACAGTGAATGGAAAAGGGAATTTTGGCTTTTAAAAAATAAACAATTTTTAAATTTGTTTCAAAAATGTTTTATTTTTTGTACTAAAAAATTGCAGTTTGCCTTTTTGACAATAATAATCGAATTAAATTGAGCGTTTTTAATATCTTTTAAATGACAGTGAATAGGGAATTTTGGCTTTTAAAAAATAAACAATTTTTAAAATTACTGAAAGTTTTGTTTCAAAAATGTGCGTTTTATGGGGAAAACGAGAAATATATACATATTTTTGTTTATTTTTTGTACTAAAAAATTGCAGTTTGCCCTTTTGACAATAATACACTTACATTTAAATGACAGTGAATTGAAACGTGAATTTTAGTATGCGCGTATAACTTAAAAAACAATTTTTAAAATTATTTGATAACCCCCCTTTTTGGAAGTTTTGTTTAAAAAAAATGTGTGTTTTATAGGAAACGCTACATATCATACTTTGTTTTGTTCTAGAAAAAATCGCGGTTTGTCCGTATGACAAGTCGCATATTATGTTGGCGCATCGCTTAGGGCGTCACATATTCAAATCACACAAAGAGTACCGGGGGTTAGAATTCCCGGTACGACATGAAACGACAAGGGAACATCACCAGCAGCAGGAGCAACCCGGTGGATCAAAAGAAACAAAGGAGCAGCAAGAGTACCCGGGTGGGTGGTCGACGGAGTGGGACGGCGAGGAGTGCACTTCGTATTTAGATTTCCTCCGGGAACGGGAAGAAGAACAACGCAAGGAACAGGAACAATGGGATGGTCGACTGAATCGACATAAAAAGAAGAAGAAACTCCTCGCCAGACCAATTTTATAAATAAAATAAAATAAAATGTATTAAAATTCAAGTTTATTTAATTATCCTCCCGATCCACCGCGTCACCGCGCCGCACCGTCACCGCCCTCTACCGGGGGGGCCTACGACGGTCGGAGCGCGCGACATCTAGCAGCGACGGGCGGAACCGGGGCAAAACAGGACGCTACACAAGCTGGCGACACAAGCGCGCGACATCTAGCAGCGACGGGCGGAACCGGGGCAAAACAGGACGCTACACAAGCTGGGTGGGGGGCGGAGCGCACTCTGGTAGACAGGGGGGACACTAGGACGCCACGCGCGGGGGGCCCCCGCTGCGGGGGGGTTAGGAAATTGAGGTTATGTACGGTTTCTGTTGCTTATATCGGCACTATACATCTACTAATGATGTATATCACGATAAACAATTTTGGTGTCAAAGCTGCTTTGAAGAAGTTTTGTTCACTGTAGAAACTGAAGATGAATGTAATTTAATGCTTCACGATGAGAGGAAATATGGAAAAAAGTTACGCTTTTCTGATAGTCCATTGAACTATTAATACTGTGGTTTTATTATAACATATGTAACTGTAGATAAGACTTTTATGTATTGATTGTATTCCATTGTATTGCAACAAGAATAAACATGTATATATTTAGACGCTATTTTCTTTTTTACCACCACCACAACACCGCATAATAATTACACAGAAGTTTGTAATTGTATAATTTATTTATTATATACATTATTACTATTTTACAATTTCGTTAAATGCTAAATTATTAAATTGTTCTAGTTTTCTTTTGCACTCTTGAGCTTACATCCGCGCCACTTGCAAGTCTGTATTAAAAAGCGCAATTTGTGTTTCAATTTCGTTGATATTGCACTCTAATCCCGACAACTGAGACGCCAAGTTTCTTTTTAAATTGAATGCCTCACAAATGACACTTTTTTCTCTACCGTCCGTGAACACTTCGAGCCAATCAGCGGATGACGTTGGAGCTGCAAACGCTTCACTTGTGGTAGTTTTCTTCTTCTTCTTGCGGGATACGACCGACGCACTTTGTTTTCGTTTGGTCGCAGATTTTTTGGTTTGTTGCTCTACAGGAACGAAGCTGGACGGGAGCACTTCTGATGAAGGAAATTGCAACTCGAAATTTTCCAATAAATTATACAATTCGTTGGATGTCACAATTTTCTCTTGAGCCATCATATACACGTATTTATGTCAGAACTTCTAAATCGAGACTAAATTTATTTCAAAACGTCTACGTTGTCTACCCACGAATCGTGCGACTTATCCAATCCCAACCAGCGCACGAGAACCATATTGCCTCGTCTGCGCAACACCTTTTCGACGAGATATAAGTCCGGGTTAACTGTCTTCTGCAATTCTTCTTCATAAAATCCGCCCATTATGGGTTTACCCTGCATATCTTGAAGCAAATACGTTACGGGGTTAGTAACCCGTACTTTAACAATTTTAAACAATTCCGTGGTCCAATTCGGTGTATAACCTTTGTTGAAAACGTGCTTGACTTTGCTGATTCTAACGATGTCGCCGACTTTAAGTTTACGAGGACCGAATATTTTTATGCTACTATACGCGGTTTTCAAAATTCTCTTTTCGTTGCTCTTACTCACATCGATGGGTTTCGTACCCGTCGTTCTATGTTTTGTGTTATTGTATTCATCAACGATAGAGGCGAGCACATCGATCCATTTGTACGTCCCGCGTAAAGAAAAATGTCGAAACAATTTCTCTTTGAGGGTACGTATCACCCGTTCGACAATTGAGGCCTTTTTTATGCTATACGTACTATAGTGGTTAATTTTATGCTTATCCACAAGTTTCAGAAACGTGTCGTTGTAAAATTCTTTACCGAGATCCGTTTGCAAGTTTTGAGGGTGCCGTCCGTCCTTGAGAATTTTGGAAAACGCCTTGGCGACTTCGACCCCGGTTTTGGTTTTCAACGGGCGACACCATACATATTTTGAGAAACAGTCTATCACAACCAGCACGAATTTAAAATTTCTGTTTTGTTTGCTGTAGCGATCTAATTGGGCCAGATCCGCTTGCCACAGGTCATCCATCCCTCGTATTATAGTCCGGCGGCGAGCATAATTTCTGCGTGCCGGCTTGTGCAGTTCTCGAACCAGTTGTACCTTCTCTTTATTCATAATGTGTGTTCGGTTGCGATGGAGGATTTAAAACCCTTTGTTTCAATACCTTCATTATATTCTCATTTTCGTTCGTAAGTCGCTCCATTTTGGTTACAATATCATGAAATTGCTGTGACAAAACGGCGACTTTTGTCATGTGCTTTTCCAAATCTTTCTTTGCGCTCATTTCGCTTAGCTTTTGGTGGAAAACTTCGCGAAACTGCATAATTTCATTTTCGAGTGTAGTGCTACTCATTTTCAGTTGTTCTTCAAGACGCGAGAATTTAGTTTTGTCTTCAATTTGTAATCTTTTCGTGTACGCTTCGAGTTTCTGTCCAATAATCTTTCTCAATGCAATTTTTAATAAATTACTTGTCTCATCCACATATTTTTTGTTAGCCACGTCACCGTCATCGCTAGGCGTTTGGACATTGCAAATTTTTAAATTGTTCATATTGACGTTTCCGTCTGGCATATAGTCGAGGGCGCTTCTAATCACAGTATTAGTGAAGGGTCGTCGCAGCGCGCTAGAACGTCCAAACTTGTCCAGACTCATCGTTAAACTAACGTATAAAACCTGATTCTTTTAGCTCTTCAACGATTGAAACTATTTCGTTATCATGAGACGTGTTGCCTGCGTGTTTCGACGCGATTAGTAATTTCAGACGCTCTACGAGTTCATTGACGTCGTCCCAGTATACATATTCAGTAGGAGCGTCATTATAACGCATATTATAACCTTGACCGCTGTACGAGTACGAACGCGACTGAGATTTTATTAAGGGTCGGATGACCTTGGTATATTTTGGTACAGTCGATGCGCCTTTCAAACGTCCGATCGCGTCCCTGTGCACCTGGGTAGCCTCCATTATTTTTTTATATTGTGCCAAATCGTCTTTTGTGTATGCTATGGGATCTTTCAAAAACACCAAATTATACAAGCCGCGGGTACCGGAATATCTCTCGCCGTCTACAATAATATCGCCAGATCCTTGATGAAAATCCAGCGATTTATTGCCGAGAAACCATTTGGATGATATTTTGTCGTAAACGGGTCCGTAAACAATATCGGTGTCGGGCGATTTTACCCATAAATTTTGAATATATGAATGGGAAATTTCTGGATATTGTTCCAGGTATGATTGAAGGGATGCGTTGGCCACGCTCGATGTGTCAAACACATCATCTTCCTCCTCATCGATATTTTGCATCTCAACGCTCTTATTGGGATCCGGCGTTTCCTGAATTTCTTCCATAGGCAAAAATGATACGTTAACCTTATTTTTTGTTTCTTCGTTCGGTTCCTTTTTGTGTTCCCGCTTGACACCTCGACGTTCAGTTTTTATTTCTGCCGGTGACGGTGATAGCTTTATTTTTGCTATACGTTCTAGCGGCTCGCTGACGGGTTTGAAAAGCTTCCGAATTGACGCATCCTCTTCGCTCTTACCCAATTTTAATGTTAAATACTTCTTTCGAATAGATCTAGACAACTCGTTTACTTTTTTTTTTAGCGCCGCGTCGGCGATGTCGGCGGACGTCGCCTTCATGACTGTTTCTATCGACAATTAAATATCGACTTTTATATATTTATCGAAACCCTTGCGGTAGCGTCCGTTTTTTACGTCGAAATCTTTGACAATTATCAAACAGCCGTACTTTTCTTTCCAGCACTCGGAACAAATTTGTTTAAACGTGTCGTATGAAACGTCGGGTGAGACATGTTCATCATAAACGTGACGTAAATTCATGTCATCCTGTTTAAACAACGCGACAATATTGCAATTGTCACGTATCAATTGCTTGGGTACCTTGGAGTATGTCTGACAGAGATAAATAGCGTCGATGGCCTTGTGTCGGCACATCGAAAAATACTCGCGAATTTTATCTTGCTTGTCGCACGCCACGTCGTCGAAAATAAACAGAGAATTCTCTTTCGCGTCGCTGGGGTCGATTATCGAGTCTCTTTCACTGTAGGGATAATATCCAACTCCTTTGACATTGCTCAATACGCGAGATAACAGTTGATATTTTGGTTGATACAACGACTTTGAGTAGACGTAAACATTTTCGAAACTTGCCCCGTTGGGGTTAAAGAGTAGCGCTAACATGGTGTTGGTTTTGCCGCAACCGCTAGGTCCGCAAAACACCGCCCTAAATGAATTGGGTAGCAGTTGACCGTGTTTGCTTTTGTTAAAGAAACCATCTCCG